GTGTGTGGAAATTAGTAACAGCTTCTATGGTGCAACTTCTAAAAATTGCCTAGATAACATTTTAGAGGTTAAAAGCATTAACAACTTTATTATTTATATTTTTCTAATCAACAAAGTGGTAATAAAGTTGGCAATCTAAATGGTAAGAATGTAAATTCATCCCCCCCACACTCCAGGGTATTCAATAATGCTATTTTCATTTTTAATGAGAGAGAGAGAGAGAGAGAGAGAGAGAGAGAGAGAGAGAGAGAGAGAGAGAGAGACTCTGTAAACATGTTTATTTTTCCTGCATTTGCCCTTGTGCCAGACTTGCTCTCTTTCTCTCTTTCTTTCTGCCTCCCTCCCTCCCTCCTTCCCTGTTCTCTCTCTCTAACCTGAAAAGTCAAAGACCTAAATGTAAATAGGTGATTTTTAAAGCTCATGGTTTCAAAACAAAGTATATAGGACTGCACTGAAGTCTATATGTTCTCCTTTTTAGAAACAGGAGGGTAGTTAGACTGTGAAGGAAGATACACTGTATAGGTAGGTTATTATTATTATATATGTATAGGCTTTTATTGGTCATTTCAAAATTTTCCCATGAAAAATTTTAAGCATAATAAAAATATGGAATAGAAACATCTCCATATATCATAACCTAGATTTAACCAGTGTTAACATTGTGTTATATTTTTGTTTTATCTACTTTTAAAAGCTCTAACAGATGTCTTTTAAAAAATTAAAATTATCACACTCAACACTGTTAAAATAAATTCCTTAATATCAAGTAATATTTAGGCAATGTTTAATTCCCCCAATTGCCTCAAAATGGCTTTTTTATTTTTGAAAAAAAGCATTTCATATGTTCAAAACAAGGTCCAAACAAGGTCAACATGTTGCAATTGTTTTGTCTTTAAAATCTCTTTTATTCTACAATAATGTTCCTTCCATTTTTTTGTGTCAGTTAATTGTTGATAAAATCAGGTAATGTGTCCTGTACAATTTTATGTATTATGTCTTTGTGATGTCATTTAACATGCTCTTTTATTCCCTAGTGCCTATAAACTGGTTCTTAGATCTAGAGGCTTAATTAGATTTGGTTTACTTCACTTTGGCAAGAATTCTTCCCAGGCAATGCTAAGTACTTCCTATTTCAACACACTAGGAGGTCTATAATGTCTGATTTTCTACTTGTAGTCTTTTAGAGATGGATCAATAGGTTCAGGAGATGCCTTACATCAACCTTTCAACTAAAGGTTTTAGCAACCAACACTGCCTAGGTCCATTATTATACTGTACTGGTTTACAAAATGTGATTTTTTTCTAATTCTATCATTCTTCATGTATTTTGATTACTCAATAAGAACTTTCCTTCAATAACTACATGGATACTATCTTTACAAGAAATATAGAATAACTATATCTAAACCACTATGTACCCAATCCTGACTTGTGCCCCAAACTTTAAAATAAAACAACAGAAAGAAATATAGGATAATTTTTCATCTCCTTGTTACTTGCTAGAATAAAGAGCTAGTGCCTTGGCAATCTTAGTGGCTGGTCAATGAGGTTCATTTGCTATTTTGGAGTATCATTATAAATTCTTGACGTTCAAATGGTCTCATATATAACCAATTTGGGGGGCTCCTTCCATTTGGTTTTTAATGTCCTTTTGGCATGAAACTAGTAGCCTTTGCCAGCTTCCTAGCTAGAAAATATGTATTTCTTTAGAATGAGAAAATTGCAACTTGAGTTTACATTGATTTGGGGAGTATGTATGCCTTAAAAACAACAACAAACAAACCAGCTTTATTGACATGTAAATGATATCCAAAAAATTGCACATAATTAATGTGTACAATTTGATGAGTTTGGACATATGCATACATAGATCTGATTCAAAGTAAATAACACAGGGTCTTTACTTATCTTTGGTTTTATATTATCTTCTCTTGTTCTGAATATTGGCTAATAATCATGTCAATGTAACTATTATTTGACATACCACAATACAAATGTTACCATTATCACCAAGCACACTAAATAAAGTTTAAGGTTTCTTTGTGTTCTCTACCCCATCACTATCCCTTAGGATATATACTTAGATACTGCTTTAAAGTCACTTAATTTTTCTCCATATAGTTATACCAACAAGTCAATATATAGTTATGCTTGATGGTTATAGTTTGTTTTCATGCTTTAGGGACTGCTTTTGATTTCAAAGTCAAAACTATAAAACAAGGAACAAAGAGATCTAGCTTTCATTTCTGTGCCCCGCCTCTTCCTTTTCCCAATAGGTAACCACTTTAAAAGTATGTTTTTAAACATCCCTATCCTTACAGAAAATGCAGATTATACACTTTTATGTATAGAGTTAACTTGTATCACTTAATAGTATGTCCTCAAGATTGCACTATAGCAGTTTTCTAATTCCATTTTACAACTGCATAGTACTCCATTGTAATGAATGTATCACAGTTTATCTAACTAGTCACCCATTGATTATGACCTGTCACATCTGAACTGTATTCTATAAAAACATTATGGTCCAGACACAGTGGCTCACAACTGCAATCCCAGCACTTTGGGAGGAGGAGCCAAGAAGATTGCTTGAGCCCAGAAGTTCAAGACCAGCCTGTGCAACCTGTGAGGTCTCGTCTCTACAATCTATCACAAAATTAGCTAGGTGTGGTGGCACATGCTTGTAATCCCAACTACTTGGAAGACTGAGGCAGAAGGATCACCTGAACCCAGCAGGTCGAGGCTGTGGTGGCCATGGTTGTGCCACTGCACACCAGCCTGGGTGACAGGGTGACTCCAACTCAAAAACAAAACAAAACAGAACTATGTAATGCAAAGTCTGAAGTCACTATTTTTGGAAATCCCATATACCACCTAGGAATTTGGTGTTGGATTATGAAACAGATTAAGTTTTTCAGTAAATTTGTACATGAATACTTGCTAATTATTTAAAAAATTATAAAATTAAAATAATTATGTAGAACTAGAAGTCAAAGTACCTCCTTTGTTTTCTTCCTATCAATTCTAATCTTTTTTCCCAATATAACCAGTTACCAGTTTGTTTGTATACTTCCTAAATATTTCCTATGATGTGCATATATATGTCATTTTTGATTTTACATAAATTAATATGCTTCTCACTCTGTGACTTGCTATTTAAAACATATTTGGAGATATGCTCCATATAGCTGTACTTCACTGTTTAAAGCAGTTGCATAGTATTCTATACAATTAAATATACATTATACCAATTTAAGTCAGTCCTCTTTTAATGAACTTGTCATTTCCAAAATGAAAAAAAAATGCAATGGAATCTTGTATTTTGTGTACATGTACAAAAGATTCCATAAGCTAGATGTTTACAGTCAAAGTGCTTGGTCAAATGCTACCTGCATTTAAAGATTTGATAGGTTCTGCAGAATTCCTCTTTGAAAAGGTCGTAACCTATTATATACTCTTATCCACAATGTATGAGAGTACCTTTTCTTATCTATCCATACTACTCTATTATCAATCTATTATCAGTCTGAGTTGGTCTGCATTTCCTTGTTATGAGACTGGACATTATTACATAACTTTAAAGTGCCCATTTTCAGAATCTTTAGGATATTACTGGCATATTAAAATGTGACTTCGACAAAACCCTGGGCAGAATTATTTTGCTTTTTAAAAAATAAGAGAAAAAATGCTATGTTGATGATACTTAAAAGAACAATAACTTCTAACATATATCGGAAGTGGGAATAGAAAATTAAGAGCTAGTATTCGACCTTGTCAAGCTATATAAAGCTTCTGCTGAATTGGTACACTCCTGATTATTTCTTTCCACACATGAAAATTTTAAACAGAACAATTCACTGATGCTTCTAGATCAGCTACATTGTCCACCTCTAAAGAATGTTTATTTTAGGGGCCAACTGTCTTACTAATAGAAGGAAGACTTACACATGCAAGTCCTACTGACATCAACGAGTTACCAGCATAAATCCCTCTGCACTGGTAGGTGAAAAGACCCTACAATCTACCAGGATTCAAATTCTAATGATTACCTGTCAAATGGTCCTAAAAGTCATCAACAGAAAGAGCAGACATGACAACTTGTATGGCAAGGGCATCTCATTGCAGCCCAACAGCTAAACTGTATATTAACAGAAAGAAAAATGGCCTTCAATATGTGACTTGGGATGCTAAGTGGTAAATCACTTAACCAGTGTTTTTAAGAGCCATCATCAAAAATAAATCAAACATATCAAACACTTGTTTTTTAAAAAGTGTGAATATTGTATGAGCTCCGAGGTGCTTGAAGGACAATACAGCTACTTGTTTAAAAATTCAATTAACCTCATCCTTCTTAAATTTGATTTAATAATCTCACAGATGAACTGCCAGTTTTGAGAGTCCTGTTATCTTCTGACTGTGTCCTGAGCTTTAGAAACTACTTGAAATTGACAGAATATCTCAGTCTGTTTTAATTATTTAATTCAATAACAAATCAGTTTAATGAATGATTTTTGTATAAAAAGAACATCAGCAGTCTCTTGTTAAATGCAAGTAAGCTATTGGGGACTCAAACTCCTTAGAGAAAAACATTTCAGGTTCTCATTCACCAAATAAATGTGAAAAACATTTCAGATCCTTATCATCTGAGTGATTTGTGAAAACAGTTTGTAGGCAATCAATGTACTGTAAAGTCATAGTCCATGCCTCACAGCCTTCACAGCACCTTTATATATATATATGCATATATATATGCATTGATGCTGGCATCTAGAACAGTTTGTTAAGTAAATCAAGCCCATGTATTATCTGATAGCCTTTTTCACAAACTTAACAGTTGGCAGATGCCTGGAAAAAAAACTAAATATACAGCTGAACAACTATTTAAATAACAGACTAATATCAAAATATAAATCAGGCTGAATATTCAATTCCTTGCAAACATATAAGATTCAATGCATGCATACACACAAAATCTTAACATTAAAAAAAGATACCACACCTGAAAGGCATTGAAAAATCTTTATTTTCTCTGAAAACTTACTGACTACAGTGTGCAAATTATAATCTTATATTCATGTTTTTTGAGATACATATAAAATTAACTAATAGTAAAAGACAAATTATTCAATATCGATAGCAGTAAATAACTAATTTGCAAGGAAATTATTACTACTAGTTAATTAAATTTCAAGAAATGTTTTTGGAAGTCTTTAGGATTTTAGGCAAAGGGCTGCCAATCCAGAAAACTATGATACAGAAATTAATCATTAATACAGCCATTATTCTAGACAAAGGGTTGCCAATCTCAGAAACTAGGACAGTTCTAGAAGTTACCCATTAACATGGCCATTTTACTAGAGCCAACTAAATTATTAAAGAGTAACTACGTTTTCCTATAAAATATATGTTGGCCTTTAATATATACAGTATATGTTTTACTGGGCAGGTACAGCAACTAGAAAAAAATACAGTAGCAACATAGGATTAGTTATTGGCTCTCATATTGATCACTAAACTGAATGGCATTATCATCATTTTTGGTTAATAAGAAGCATGCATAATTAAACATTTTAAATATATGAATCAAAATTCTTTAATAGCAATTTTCAAAATTTTAAATTAGCTACTGAAAATTTTGCATTATGTACAACACATTAATTTTTATTAATATGACTTCAGGCTTAAGGTCTTACAATAAAACAAAAAGATTTTTCTTTATAATTTTAAGCTATGAACAAAAACCTCTTAGAATAATTTCTAAGAGCTGCAACAAAGGCTCTTAGAATAATTTCTGAGGCAGCAGGAAATATCTAAAGTTCTCTAACACAATTTTTACAGTTGTGTAATATTTTAATCATCACTAATCATATTCAGAAGCTTTTAAACATTTCAACAGTATTTAATAAATAACCTGAAAGAGAGATTCTGATGCTGGTTAATGGATGAAACGGTGCACTATGGGTTGTGCCATGAGACCACAACTATCTCCATTGTTCTACATATAGACAACTGCAGCAAGTCCATCAGAATTTTCCTAGTTATTCTATGTCTACCCCGATTGTCTGTTTACATAAATGTGCATGCTGCATCCAAGGTACCTCAACTCTAAGACAACAACAAAGTACAGTATCATGGTGCAATTTACTACAATTGTATTCAGACTCAATTCTCTCATCTAGTGGAACCTTTTATATCGCTGGTATCCAAGGGCAGGACCAATACTCTGTATAATTAAAGGTACATATTAGGCATTTAGTACATGCCCATGGGTTTCAGGAAACATGATTTAATAATTATCTGAATCCTTGTAACAAATTAGGTTATAATATGATCCTACTGTTCCTGATTTGTGTGACATTATAAAAGGGAAAAAAGGGACTAAAGAGAGGAGGGGTTGCACATTGGGAGAAAGGGTTAGGAGCAGCCTGAGAGGCTGGGAAGTTTTTCTCTTTCTTCTGGATTCGACTATATCTGCAGGAGTTGAAAAGGTGAGGTAAGAGCTACATTCCTTATTTCTTTCCATTTCCCATGAATATGTGCCCTGCCACACCTACCTTCCTTTAAGATCTTCTTGGAAACCTGGTGAGGTCAGGGGCCAGCTGCAGTTGAAGAGTATAAGAACTACGTGCTTTCCACTGGAACCATGGCTTCCTGATAGGCAATACAGGTCAGAACTTATGACAAGAAATTTTGAGTTTATTTACAGACAGTTGTAAGTCTAAACTATTGCTCAAAAAAAGTAGACCATCAGAGCTTGGCATTTAAGAATATTTAAATATAGGCACTGTCACTGTAACTAGATTTGCTGCTCTAACATTTTTATGCAGAGTATATATTAGGGGTTAACAACTGTCATACCTTACTTGGAGTTTTTGGTGATTGCAGGTTTACTTAGAAAAAAAATAAAAGAATGTATAGTGTTTTCCTTAGTAAGATTTCAAAACTACAATTCCACTTGTTACTATGTTTACTGGTCTATAAGACTGTAAAATACTAATTTAAGAAATTTTCATTTAAAAAGCCTAATGCAATAAAAACACTGTGATTTATTTTGTTCAGAAGTTGACAGCAAGCAATTATGTGCTGCATGAGATTTTTGATATTCATCTTCAAGTTAATGGGAAAATTATGAAACCATTTTATTCCAGAAAAAACATTCCAAGGATGGCACTACATTTATCTTCATAATCATTCTCATGCAATAGGCAGGGTATTACTATGTCTACTTTACATATGGAGAAAACTGAGGCTCAGAAGTTAAACAATTTGCCCAGTGTCATCAGTAGTACAGCCAGGACTAAATTAGGTCTGTAGACAATGACTAGTACTCTGGTTACTTGAATACCCAAATATCAATGAACCTATCTGAATCTTTCCTTTAATTCTTTCATTTCTTCATTATTGAGTTTTCCCAATGTGCAAATATCACGACTAATATTAAAAAACACCACTGATTTGCTCATAAAAATGTCTAAACACTTTAATATTAGCATTTTCCATACTTCTCAACATAGAAAACAAAACAAACCTGTATTCCAAACACAGGCTTCTTCCTGAATCATACTTTAGTTTTTCTTAACTGAATCTACATACGCTTTTATCATTACACCATGATGCCCATATCCATAAAGAAAATATGATTCAAATAATCAAAGGAAATATGTGAGCCAATTCTGAAGATGCGGCTTTCGAATTTTGATTAACAATGCATAGGATCACTTTCATAGCCATAGCTCTATTACTGGGAATCAATTCATTTATTTTTCATCTGCTAATCCTACAGATTTAGTATCTTAAAACAGGCAAGTCAATGTGTCTTAGAAGTGTTTATGTTCTTGGAATGTCCTTTTTAATGAAAACCACCTTTTAGATTTCTATGACCTGCTTCTCCTTATAATTTGGCATGTCAACGGGTGGCTGCTTTCTAACATTTTTCAAACAGTCCTTCCACTAAGGAAACTCTGAGGCCAGTATGAATTTCCGAATTGGGATATCCAGTTTGGTGTATATCCATTATTCAGAAGGCTCCTCTGGGTTTCCCAGGTTTGTGCTTTCCTTGTGAGTCTCTGAATTAGGCTCTGGCATGGCACTGGATTCTGAAGCTTCTGGTTGCAAATTGTCTCCATCAAGGACAATGTCTTCAGGATTTGGTGGGGGTGGACAGAAGTCTTCATTGGGACAGATTTGCTGGAAAAGTGTTTCAGCCTGGCCAGGAAAGAAAAGATAAAATAGTTTTTGGAAATCAGCTTAAAATTTACATGCACTTCTGGAACTACCTAAAAAAATTTAAGTGTTACCCTTAAAAATTTCTTTAAGCAGGTTACAGCATCAGGATACACGAACTTCTACAAATCTGTTTTCAGAAATCTATGACATATCTCCATCAAATTCTATGCATGTATTTAGTTGCACTCTTCAAGAATGGCAGTACTTGATCAAGTGTTAAGATTGTTGAGAATTTAAGCATATTCATTCTCTATATCAACAGAAATATGATTTCCCTTAATACTTTATATAATTTTTCATAGAACCTGTTTGTGATATTTATACAGTCTAATTTAGCATACAGCAATTTTAACAAGTCATTGCTCAAATCAATAAAATCTTCATTGTTTGCTAAACTATTTGCTTTTCTGATATAATCCCCCCTCCACTCTTATGCTTTTAGGAGCACAGTATTTAGGCTCATGAACTCTGATTAGATATGGCCTCATTGCAAATGCTGGCTCTGCTATTTAGCAGTTATGTGATTTGAGGAATGCTAACTCAACTTCTGAGTTTTGGCTTCCTCATCTCTAAAATGGCAGAGAATATACCTCTATATATGGTAGCTATTGTTATTATTACTAACAGTAACATAAGTAAAAATGTCAAGATTTAAGCTGAGCTTAGTGTGGCAGGGTAAAACAGTAAATGTGTTCTTCATAACAATTATATATGAAGTAAATGAGGCAAGTAGCATTGCTATTCCATTTCAAACATATTCCCACCTGTATTTAGATGGTTGATAAAGTTACCTCCCATGTTGGGGAGCCTGCACTCTATCCTTTGGTAAAAGGGAGTAATTAAGATTTTTAGATGTATACTTGTTTTAAAGACTATAATGCCTTTCTGTACCTCTTTACTCTCTTCCCAATGTACACACAGGTTGTCCACTAACTAGGCCAAGAGTTGATGAACTACGGTCCACAGGCCAAATCCAACCTGCTGTCTACTTTTGTAAATAAAGTTTTATTGGAGCAGTTACATTCATTCATTTTACCTATTGTCTAAGGCTGCTTTTGTACTACAGTGGCAGACTTGAGTAGTTGTGAGAGACCAAATGGGCTGCAAAACCTAAAATATTTGTCATCAGGTTGTCTACAACTGGTAGACTCCTGCATCAGGTGATTAAAACTGAAATTCTTTGAAGAGTGGACAGACGGGTAATAAACAGAAGCTTTTCAGCTCTGATGTAGATTTGAAGGAAGGTACAGGGAGAGGAAAATAGTTTCTTTCGCTCTTGGGTATGCTTCAAGGGTATGTGTTTGGACATGCCAATTACTATGGATATATATTTTTAAATTTTAAAATACTTAACTGATGAACGAAAATTGTATATATTCAAGTGTGCAATGTGATGATTTGATAGTGTATAATGATTACTAAATCAATTTAATGAACACACCCATCACCACCATTACCACTGTGTGTGTGTGTGTGTGTGTGTGTGTGTGTATGTGTGTGCGTGTTTGTAGCAAAAACACTTAAAATCTGCTCTCTTATCAAATTTCAAGTTAACAATCCTGTCATTTGTGATACATGGATGAATTTGGAGGACATTATACTGAGTGAAATAAGCAAAGCAAAAACAGACAAATATCACATGATCTCATTTATATGTGGAAATGAAACATGTTGGAACTCATAGAAACAGAGAGAAAAAGGTGATTGCCAGAGGCTGGGGGTGGGGGAAATGGGGAGATGGTTAAAGGGTACAACTTTCAGCTGCTATTAGGTAAATAAATTCAGGGGATCTAATGTACAGCATGGTGACTATAGCTAATAGTAATATACTGCATTATTTACTATGGATATTTTGAAGTTAAAAATTAGAGACGCCTGCTTTGCTCTCCACCCTTAGAAATGAAATGATCTAAATCAATTAATAAAATTGAATAGCCAACAAGATAATAGCATTAACCAGCTTAATACATGTAACTCCATTTTGTTTAAAGCTTCCATCTTAGTTGCCTGCCTGACCTAAGAATAACCTCTCAATGCATACGTGTAATTACTGCAATGTTCCCATGACCACAGACCCCCCAGCTTTGTCCCCCTTGGGCAGGTCATGCTGACTGTTTCTTGCTGACTATTACAAAACTCCCTCACCACAAGTTCCTGCAATTGTATGCTTTGTTAACTGTTCTGAGAAATTGTTGGAAAAATTTTTCTTTGCAAAAATCCCCCCTATCACATCCTGGTAATTTGTTCCTAGTTTTAGTTCCCCATTGTTTTTAGTTACTGTTACCTCAAACTCCCCATGCACCCCCTGCTATGTAGCCAGCACTGCAAATTTTACCTATAAAAGTTTGTTGCAAACTGCACTAGTTTGTCAAGAGTTCCTGGCATGAGCCACTCTTGACCACATGCTAATAAAGGACTCTTAATATGGTACTTGGTGTGCTGGCGTGACCTCTTCTCACTTTCTCGGTTATAACAGAACCACTAGACCCCCTTGCTGTAGACACTTAGCCACTTCTACAGAAGCAGGAAGATTTAGGTCAAAGTCCCTACCTCATACTTTAGTTCCCCTGATGGTCTTTTGGTCTTAACGGTCTATCTTGTTTGTCTGTAGAAGTTCTCCCCTGCCTTTACTCTCTTGCTACATGCAAACAATCACTAAATCCTGTCAATTTTATCTTCTATTCCTTGTATCTGCTCCTTTCTCATTGATATAGCACAGACATGCACTATCTTTCATCCAGACAAATGCAAGTCTCAGAAATAGTTTCTTCATCTCTAGGGTTCCCTTTTGTAATTTACTTCTATGCTACCCTCAGAGGGTCTATGGAGAATAAAATTGTTTATTCCACTTTCTGACTTAAAATTCTTACTAGCTATGTAACCTTTAGAGAAGTTATTTAGCTTCTTTGGGCTTAGTTTCCTCTTTCTGTAAAATGGGGATGTGTCATGAATACTTACCTCATAAGATTGTTTTGAGGACCAAATCTGCTAAATGCAGCTGGAGATCATCATACTAAGTGAACTATCACAGAAACAAAGAACAACTGAATACTGCATATTTCACTCATAAGTGGGCCCTGATCACTAGTCACATTAGGACAACGATGGGATCTGCAGGTGCTGGGCACTGCTAGGAGAGGGAGGGAAAGGGGAGGGTGAAAGACATGTAACAACACAAAAGATACCTGGTCCACTACCAGGAGGAGTGAGGGCCACCTAGAAGCCCAAACTTCACCTGCATGCAGCCTACTCTTGTAGTAAATCTTCACTTGTACCCCACAACTCTATAGCAAATATATAAATTTAAATTTGAAAATAATGTATGTATATTTATACAAGATGCTAAGGATAGTGTCTGGCACAAAGAACATGTTCAAATGAATGGTAGCTACAGAAAATATGACACCTAAAATTGCCTTCTCCCTTAATGGCATGAGAAAGTGAATGGCACTGCAGTACGTGAGCAACTTTATAGTTCATACAATCTATAAAGCTAGGCCTCAAGTTACTAACAAACGATGTACAAAAGTCACAAGTGAGTTGCTAACCTGCCCATAAAATAACGTTCTAAATAGTGGTTAGGTTGCCAGTTCAGCCCAATATCAGCCAATTTAACCCATTTTATACCTGAAGTATAAAACAAAGATTATAGTACTATTTATTCTTGTCCCATGGTAATGACATTTCTTAGTGGGTAGAGGCTCCTGAAGGAGAAGAGAGCTATCAGTATCTTGGGAGCAGGGACTATAGATCAGACTGTTCATCATTATGTGTGGGCAAATGGGACACTACGTCTATCAAGAAAAGAGACGTCACATGTCAGTTTCAGGGAAAAAAAGGCAACATAAACTAAAAAACAAACCAGCAAGTTACAGAAAGAATCACAATGATCACTTGGGCTGGTATCATTGTGGTGACAATAGAGAATGTGCTGGTGTGCAGGAGCACACAATTTGAACTTGTGTGAGTTATTAAACAGAGATCACTTTATTATATATTCAATGTGTCTTTAAGTTGTAAATAGTTTCATATGAACACAAGGAGCCAGATCTGCATTATTCAACCTCTATACATTTATAAATAAGAAAAGATGTGACGTGTCTGTTCATGTCTTTTGCCCATTTTATAATGGGGGTTGTTTGTTTTCTTCTT